GCTGGGGGCCACCTTGAAGCCTGTGATGCCGGAGGGCCCCCCGCCCCCCTGTCCCCCCCACCCCCCTGTCCCCCCCTCATGGTCTTGCTCCCACTCAGCCACGAGGCTGCACCAAAGCCCCAGCGGAACACGATCTTAATTAAAACCAACAGCAGCTGGCAAAAAAAAAAAAAAAAACAACCACCAAAAATGAGTGCCCTGGCTGCCATTCCTGCTTCTCAGTTCCACAAGCTGGGGGCCCTGTGAGCAGTGTTCTGGGCTCTCTATTGGGAAAAGCAGGCTGGGGAGGGGGGTGGTTCCCGGGCCCTGTGGGAGGCCAGTGTGACTTAAGGCCAGTGTGGCAGCCTCTCCCCCCGCCATTCACCAAGAGGCTGAGCTGGCCTGGACATGCAGCTCCGAGGACCCCGGCAGGCTGGCCAGGTGGACTGCCGGTTCCCCTGGCGGTCAGTTTGGTAGGGGACCAGACGCGAGACCCAGACAAGGCATGGCACTGTGTCATGGACACCCTCCTGCCCCCCAAGGTCTTTGGGGGCTTTCCTGGAAGTCTGACCGGGATTCCATCTTGTCTGGGTGTCTTTGGGGGGCTTCCTGGAGGAGGCCATATCTCGGCTGGGAACGGAGGGAACAGTGGTTGCCAGGAAACAGTGAAGACCCGTCTGTGTTTTTGTTTGTTGACTTTGGCAGCCCTGTCTCTGGGACGAGTGGGCAGCGCAGTGGCACAGCGCGGTCTGGGGAGGAGGAGAGTGTGCGGGGCTCCAGGGTTTGCTCCCGGGAAGCATCGTGGTCTTCAGGTCTGGCTGCATCAAGGCAGTCCACTCTGAGGGGCTGTGGCTGAGAGGGGGTGCAGGCGTGGGTACCCGAGGCACGGTCCCAGCCGAGCTGTCGGGGCAGATCCAGCCCAGGTCTGGCCTCCACGCTGTCCTGAGCAAGCTGCCCCACCTCTAAGCTGCAGGTTCTCCTCCATCCGCTCCATACCGTGTCTGCTGCGGGAGGAGCAGTGGTCTACACCCTGGCTGGGCTTTGTCCCCCCCCCAGCATACCCTACCAGAAGGAACGGCCTGGGAACTGGACGTAACCCACTCAGGCCACAGGGCCCAAGGAGATGAGGCTTGGGATGGACACAGCACCTGCCTCGCGGGCAAGGCCGCTGCCTGGCTCCTGCAGCTGGAGGCCCAAGGCGTGGGGCCGGTGTCTCCGGCTGGGGGCAGCCCGCTCAGGGTTCCCCAGCCCCCAGGCACGACTCCAGGTGACTCACAGCGCTGCCTCCACTGGGAGGGCAGGTCAGGCCCCGCCTCCATCCTGGCTCTTAAAGGGCCCCGCACCACCATCGCCAGCCACTGGCCAGGCAGCGTGGGTTCCTGCCCCCAGAGCCTGGGGGGGGGTGGCCGTCCAGGGGCCGCAGCATGGGCACAGCGCTCTGTCTCAGGAGGTTTCCAGCGGCCAGGACTGGAAAGACGGGGATGGACGGGCTTCCCTGTCTGGTGCTCCCCTACCCCCCCTGCCTCCCACACCCATGCCTGTTGTGTCCTCCTTTAGTGCCCTCTGGCTTTTCCAGGAGGGGCTTTGCACCCTCTTTGGGAGGGGGTGTCTTTCTCTTTATCTCAGCTCTGCCTTGGGGGGTTGGGGCTCCATGCCCCCACTCCTGGTGGGTTTCTTGGTGCTGTGACCCTAGTGACTGACCAGTCTGGCTTGGGCTTGAGCTGTGGTGGAGACCAGGCTCTCCCTGCCCCGGGGCTGGGGGAGGCCGGGAGAGGGGCAGGCTGAAGCAGGAAGGCGGGGGCCGGGCGGAGGGGACGGACGGAGGCAGCCCCACAGTGCACCCTCACTGCCCAGTGTCCACCTTGTTATTGGCCCTGGTCATCCTGCCACGCCTCTGGCTGTTGTGGCACCTTTATTAATAATGGTTGGGGCTCCCTGGGCGTTCAGCCTGGCACAGGCCTGCCTCTTGTGGCCTGTGGTACCCTGGTCTTCCTGCACGCTGAGGTCCGAGCTGTGGAGAGAAGGATAGATGGATGGACAAATGGATCAATGGTCAAGTGGATGGATGGATGGGCAGGTGGATGGGCTGATGGATGGATGGATGATCAAGTGGATGGATGAATGGATGGATGGAAGGTGGATGGGTTGATGGATGAGTGGATGGATGGATGGACAGGTAGATGGGATGGATGGAAGATGGATGGACTGATGGATGAATGGATGGATGGATGGACAGGCGGATGGATGGGTGAGTGGATGGTCAACTGGATGGATGGATGGTTGGAAAGTGAATGGATGGGTGGTTGAGTAGATGATAGATGGGCAGGTGGATGGACTGATGGTTGAGTGGATGGATGGGTGGATGGATGGATGGATGGATGAACATACATAAGGCTTGTCCCCATCCTCTGGGCCTGGTGGAGGGCTATTCTTCCTTTGGGTTGCACCTTCACATGCCCCCCAGGGAGCCCTCCTGCGCCCTCAGGTCAGACTGGGGTCTACCTGAGTTCTTCCTGTGCACACAGGGGGCGGCCGAGGGCCGGGACCCATCTGGGTCACCATTGTGCCTTCAGCGTCCAGCCCAGGGTCCAGCCCATGGGCGGTGGGGGCTCAGGACTTCATTATTGGATGAATAGGAGGCTAAAAATATTGTTTGTTCTTTCTGTCCACCGTTGGGGGGGGTGGTCACCACCCCCAGTTTACGGCTAAGGAAAGTAAAGTTTCAGAGAGGTGAGTTCAGTTGCCCAAAGGATTCAGGGCCCACAGAAGGACTCAGTTTAAAAGAACACCCTCCCTGAGCCAGGCACCTGTGGCTCCCGCCTGTCACCCTAGCTACTCAGGAGGCTGAGATCTGAGGATTGCGGTTCAAAGCCAGCCCCGGCAGGAAAGTCCGTGAGACTCTTTTTCTTTTCTTTTTGAGTCCGGTCGTGGGGCCTGAACTCTGGGCCTGGGCGCTGTCCCTCAGCTCTTCAGCTCAAGGCTAGTGCTCTACCACTTGAGCCACAGCGCCACTTCCGGCTTTTTTTCTTTTTGCTTATGTGGTGCTGAGAAATTGAACCCAGGGCCTTATGCATGCAAGGCAAGCGCTCTACCACTGAGCCACCTTCCCAGCTCTGTGAGACTCTTATCTCCAATAAACCACTGAGAAAACTGGAAATGGCTATGGCTCAAGTGGTGGAGCGCTCGCCTTGAGCTGAAGAGCTGAGGGACAGCGCCCAGGCCCAGAGTTCAAGTCTCACAAGGAAGAAGGAGGAGGAGGAGAAGGAGGAAGAGGACCTGGAGGAAAACCCTGCACTCCCACAGGCCCCTGAGGAGGTCCCCAATTGAGACAGAAGATGGGGTTCACATGCTTTGGGACCCCCTGCTTTAGGAGTTTCTGGGTCTGGCAGGTAGAGATGACGTGAAGCAGAGAGGAAGCCGCAAACCTTCAAGCATTTTACTGACGCACGTACAAACCCCATGTGTCAGTCCATCAGGCAGCAGAGGTGGGCAGGGGAGTTGGCTAACCGGAGAAGGGATTTTTTTTTTAATTTGTTGGCTGTGGGGCTTGAACTTGAGGCCTGGACGCTGTCCCTGAGTTTTTCTGCTCCAGGCTAGCGCTCTACCACTTGAGCCACAGCTCTACTTCCGGTTTTCTGGTGGTTCATTGGAGATAAGAGTCTCAGGGAGTTTCCAGCCTGGGCTGGCTTTGACCCGTGATTCTCAGATCTCAGCCTCTTGAGTAGCTAGGGTGACAGGCGGGAGCTCCCAGCGCCCCGCAGGAGGGCTGTTCTGATGGCCCTGTTTGATCATGAGCCCCAAATCTCATCCACTCTGATGTCTGAGATGCAGCAGGAGCTCCCCCCAAGCTCTGTCACGGTCTGGGGGTGCTCAGTGGCCCCGTCTCCAGCTGAACTCCTTGAGCCTGACTGGGCTGCCTGGCTGGGCATGACCTCTGACCCCCCAGCATCCTCCCCCAGTTCCCCCCTCTGCACACTGACTAGGGTGGTGGTCGGCCTCACTTCATCATTGAAGGAGCCTGTCTCCTCGGCCTGGCCGGCTGGGACGGCTCAGCCAGCGGAGCCTGGGGCTTGGAAGGATCCAAGGAGCCAGGAGGGAAACGGGACTGGGCCTGGGATTTGTGGCTGGGAGCTCCTGGCTGGTTGTGCCAGGAGCCAGGGGGTGCGCTCTTCTGGGTGGTGGGGACACAGTGATGGGGGGGTGCCCGATGGGTGCCAGAGCCCTTGGTGCTGAAATGGTGCAGCTCGCTTTGCCAATCCAGGGCTCAGAGTGGCAGAGGGCCGGTACTGGAGCCAGGGGGCTCCACCGGTCCAGCCCTGAGGCATCTTTTTTGGGGTACAGTCACCGTCCTGCAGCCCAGATGCCCAGGACGGCCTTGGCTTGGGGACACGGGCCGCCAGGACTGGGAGGGAGGCCGCTGGAGTCTGTGTGCCACGGTGCAGGGGTGAGGCCAGAGCAAGGTCAGAACCCAGTCAGCTGCGCGACTGGGCTTGGGGTCCTGCATGGGGTTACAGAGCACCAGCCTGTGCCCCTCCCCTCCCCGGCCGTGTAGGGCCCCCGAGATGCAGTTCTGGGGTGGAGGGCTGGTGCTCGCCACCGCCCAACAGCAGCAGTGGGTGGCTACGCAGGGGGCGCAGGGGGAGGGAAGGGCGGGCCCCACCCCATCTTTCCTGTTGGCTGCTGTGTGCCCAGCACCGGGCCGCCTGGCTGGCATAGCAGACGTGGGTGGTGGAGGAGTGCTTGCCAAGGAGGCTGGGCTGCTGCCACTCCTGTGGGGGAAGGGAGGCCGGAGCAGGGAGGGCTGGGGCTGGGGGGTCCCAAGTCCAGGGTGCTGTCCAGGGCCAGGCCAACCCAGCCGAGGGAATCCTGGCAGCCCAGGCAGGGCCAGCCTCGCTGTGGCACCCAGGGGCACCGGAGGGAGGGGTGCGGAGAGGTCTGGCGCACACACGTGGTAAGACTCCCATCGCATGCCCGCGCGCGCCCGCTGCTCTGTGCCAGGCCCCGCGTCTGCCTGTGCCGTCATGCCCTCGGCTCCACGTCACGGGCGTCGGAGTGGCTCTGCACCCACCGTCCCCACGCGCTTCCCGGGGCTCGGGCCTGGTAGGGGGTCCGTCCCCGTGGCGGGTCTGTGGGGGTGATCTGGGCATCTCGGGCATTCACGAGACACTGTAGGAAAGGGGCGCAGCCAGTCTCAGGACCCCCAGCCCCAGCCTCTGGAGGAGCCCCGGGCTTCCGGGCCCTCTGGAGGAGGGGGTCAGCGTTAACCCTCCGCCCGCCTGCCCTGCCTCCCAGGCTGGCGCCCTGAGACACATTCGCCCCCAGTGGGAGGGCCGCTTCCATTCACAGGTCGGGAAGCAGGCCCAGGCCACAGTGTGGTCCCTGCAGGGGATTGGGCCTCCTTGGGGATGAGGGGGTGCAGAGCTGAGGGGGTGCCGCTGCCCCTTGTCTGGGAAGCCGTGCTGTTGCGGCTGTGCTGGGGGGGGTGAGGAGGAAAAGGCCCCCTCCGGCCCTGCCTCATGCAGTCGGAGTGTGAGGCTGACCTCCACTGAATCTTGGGGACCACAGCAGAGATGTTCACAGCTGCAGGCTGTGGGGCCGAGGCCAGCGGTGGACAGGGGACCCCTACTCTGCAGTGGAGAGAGGGGTTCATTTGGGGGTGGGAAGGGCAGGAGGAGGGGCCGGGGACCTCCAGGGCCAGCTCAGAGGAGCAGAGCTAGGGGCCCTGCCAGGGGGGGCGTGGCTGGTTGGTGAGGAGCATGGGCTCTCAGAGGAGGCCTAGCACTGGAGGTGGAGGCCAGGAGGCCTCTGGAGGGAGGACAGCCGGTGACTAGAGGCTCAGGAGTGTAAGGGACTCCAGTTTAGTAAGAAGGGTCACTGGTGGCCAGGCCCAAGGCCCCTGCGTTCTGCAGTGTTTCTGGCTCACGGGGAGAGGGGAGGTGGGTGAAGCCGGCCCAGGCCTCCACGCTCTGCGGCCCGCTCTCTACCTCCGCCGCGGCCAGAGCCCCCCCCTCCCCGCCCCATCTGTTCTGCTGTGTTTGAGTTGAGCTTCAGTCAGGAGAAGTATTTTGCTTTAGGGAAATGAAAATCAGACTCAACATTTATCCTGGGCTCCTGGGACCGGCTCTTGTGTTCGCTCCTGGCAGTCGGGAGCTGTGTAGAGGGGAGGAGGAGCTGCTGGGGTGGGCGGCCGCCCTGGGCACTGAAGGGAAAAGGCTGGCAGAGCAGGGCAGCTCTGGCTCTCGGTGGGGTCGGTGGGAGGGAGGCTGTGCGGGTGCTCTGTGCTCCTTCCCACCCCTTCCCATGGCTCTGCTATCCTAGACATGAGACCCCGAGGGCCAGTAACTTGTTCACAGTAGCACAGCCTACAAAGTGGCCGTGACAGAACCGGAAACCGGAGGCCTCCATGCCTCCAGCCCGGCATTAGGGAGGTTAATTAGAGATGGAGCGTCCCAGACTTTTTCTTCCAGGCTGACCTCAAATCTTGATCCTCAGATCTCAGTCTCCTACTTAGTTAGAACTCGTGTGTGTGTGTGTGTGTGTGTGTGTGTGTTCTGAAGGTAGACCAGGAAGTAGTGTGCGTGCGTGCGTGTGTGTGTGTGTGTGTGTGTGTGTGTGTGTGTGTTCTGAAGGTAGACCAGGAAGTAAGGAAAAACAGTGAGGGGCTGACACAAAAAGTCCCCAGGGCCATGGGCTAGGAAGGTGGCTCAGAGATAGAGTGCTTGCCTTGCATGCATGAGGTCCTGGGTTCGATTCTTCAGCACCACATAAGCAGAAAAAGCCGGAAGTGGCGCTGTGGCTCAAGTGGTAGAGGGCTAACCTTGAGCTGAAGAGCTGAGGGACAGCACCCAGGCCCAGAGTTCAGGCCCACAACCTACAAAAAACAAAAAAAAAAAACAAAAAAGTCCCCAGGGCCGGACACCGGTGGCTCACACCTGTCATCCTAGGTAGCTAGAGACTGAGATCTGAAGATCACAGTTTGAAGCCAGCCAGGGCAGAACATAGTGAGACTCTTATCTCCAATGAACCACCAAGAAGCCAGAAGTGAAGCTATGATTCGAGTGGTAGAGTGCTAGTTTCAAACAAACAAACAAACAAACAAAAAAGCTCAGGGGGCTGGGGGTTTAGCCCAGCGGAAGGGCGTCCTCCCGGCACGTGCAAGGCCCTGGGTTCGGTCCTCAGCCCTGGAAATAAAAAAAAGCTCAGGGACAGTGCTCAGGCCCTGAGTTCAAGCGCCAGAACTGGCATGTGTGGGGAAGTCAGGATCGCTGCCCGGGGGACGTGCAGCGGCTGGTCCCTAAAGGTCAGGTCCCTGCTCAGGGCTGGGTAGGGCTTTGCTCATGACCCTGCTCACTCCCTTGGGGCCTTGGGCCTGCTTGCTAGTCTCCCAGTGTTCCGGTGGGAGTGTTCAAAACATCGGAGCCCGGAGCCCGGGGGCAGGCTGCTGGCGTCCTGTGAGAGGGAGGTCTGGTCAGGGGAGGGGGGAGGGGGGGAGGGAGGTCCAGTCAGGGGAGGGTGTAGGGGGGTGGTCTGGTCAGGGGGAAGGTTGGGACTTGGAGCTGGCCCCCTCCCCCTCTGGTCTGGTCAGGCCCACAGCAACCTGCCTCGCTTTCTCCTGTGTGCAGCCCCTGCTGTAAGTCCTAGGATGCCACCCTTTGCCAAGGTCACTCAAGGTCATGTAGCTCCTCGCCTCCCTCAAGGTGGGCCAGGGTGGGGGGTCTCTGAGGTACCCACCCTGGACCTGGAGCCCCCTACTCAGGCAGGCTGGCATCCTGACCCCCCAGACAATGAAAACAGAGCTGTCTGAGCCTCGCTTTCCTCCCTGGGACAGTGGGGTTCACCTTCCATGGGGTGAACAGCTGGGAGGAAACTGAGGCCAGAGGCTCGCTTCCCAGCACCCACAGCGGGCAGCCCTGGGCCTGGGGGAGCGCGGCCCAGGCGCCCAGGTTGGGCCCTGGAGAGCGAGTTCCTGCTTCCTACGTTAGCCCGCACCCCGCAGCCCCTCGTAGCTGATTCTGGGCAGCCCAGGCTGAGTGAGGTCACCCCATCTCACTTCCTTACCCAGTGCCCTTTGGAGTACACTTTGGGGTACAGGGTTCTTTGGGGGGGTTGGTCGTGGGTCTTGATCTCTGGGCCTGAGCGCTGTCCTCAGCTCTTCAGCTCAAGGCTAGCGCTCTACCACTTGAGCCACAGTGCCACTTCTGGCTTTTTCTGCTTATGTAGTGCTGAGGAATAGAACCCAGGGCCTCAGGCATGCAAGGCAAGCGCTCTACCACTGAGCCACCTTCCGAACCAGTTCTTAGTTTTTTGTTGTTATTGTTTGTTTTGCCAAACCTTCTCTTGTTGTTGTTGTTAGTCCTGGGGCTTTGAACTCAGGGCCTGGGCACTGTCCCTAAGCTTCTTGTGCTCAGGGCTAGCACTCTGCCACCTGAGCCACAGCACCACTCCTGGCTTTTTCTGTGTTTGTGGTGCTGAGGAGTGGAACTCGGGGCTTCATGCATGCTAGGACAAGCACTCTGCCACTGAGCCACCTTCCCAGCCCACGTTTGCATTCCTTTACAGTAGGTCTGGCTTTTCAGGAAACTGGGCCCACCCGGTCACACCCCTTGCTGGGGGTAGGAGGGGGGCCAGGTCTGGCTCTGATCCCCAGACCCGAGTTCCCATACCCCTTCTGCTGCTTCCTGGCCTCCCCTGCCTAGGCTTCTCGGCCTGCAGCCAGGGCAGAGTAACACTGCCCCCCTGGGGCAGCTGAGCCAAGGCACACGGCCGCCCTGGGCCCGGCCCGGCTAGCGCTGGGGGGCTCCGCAGCGGCTACCAGCTGGCTTGGGGCGGTTGTTGGAAAGTCCCCAAGTCTGAGCTCACCCCACTCCCTCCTTGTATCCTCTGGGAAGAGATTCCAGATCTTTCCACCTGACCTCTGCCTCATGCCTTCTTACTGTCCATCCATCCATCCATTCATGTATTCCGTCACCCCACAAACCTGTGTTCCAGAACCTTCCATACCCACTAAGTTTCCAGGGTAGCTGTCTGTGGCAGGAACTATACCAGGCCTGAGTTTGGCAGAGGAGGAAGCGGAGTCAGAGGGCATGCAAGGAGCTCCCTCGTGGTCTCGCGGACATGGTTTGATGTCCTCAGTCAGTGATGCTACAGAGAGCCTTGTGATTCTGGCTTTTTTTTTTTGGATGCAGAACTTTCCAGAAATGACATTCCGTCCCATGTGTGGTTCTGTACAGGAGGGCTGTGGGGCTTGGCGCCAGTTTCTGCCATGTTCCCCGCTCACTGTTTCTGCTTCTGTGTGGCTCCTACCACGTCCTGCCCAGAGGGGGGCTTGGAGTGTCCCCCAAGGGGACCGGGGGGGGGCTGCTGGGCTGGGAGGGGCTCGCGGGGGGCTGGAGCTGCTCCCCCCACGACCCTGCCCCAGGCTGGGGGCTGGGAAGGAAAGTGTTGGGTTCCCTAAGTGTCGCAGTGTGTTTTGGGGTCACCTGCACCTGTGGCACCGCACATGGGTGAGACAGGACGGGGGAGGGCTCCGGGCTCTGCCCGCCTCGGCGGGGAGCCCGCTGACCCTTGACCAGGCCCCTGGTGGGGGAAGGGGAGGGAGACCCCAGGGAGTCCGTGCCCCCTCCCCCCAAGCTCCTCACCCCCAGCTAAACACTGCCTGTCTTTTCTCTTGCAGTCACTGAGAAGGAGGTGCAGCAGTGGTGAGTAGCCGGTGTCCCCACTCTTGGGAGGGCGTGGGCCTGGGTGGGTGGGGCTGCAGGGCCCAGGAGACAGCGCGCCACACTGCACCGCACCACACCACACCATACACACCACACCCACCACACCACACCCACCACACCACACCACACCACACCACACCA